CAGAATCTTCAAACTAGCAAAAGGCACAAGTACTCATTGTGGTTAATGTGTGTAGAAAGTTTGGTGAAACTAGGGTGCATAGTTAAAAAGATATAGGCCGTACAAAACATCCACCCTAAAAGTTTAAGTTTCTAATGTTTCCATGGAAAAGGCAAAAATTAAAAAATTCAGAATCTTCAAACTAGCAAAAGGCACAAGTACTCATTGTGGTTAATGTGTGTAGAAAGTTTGGTGAAACTAGGGTGCATAGTTAAAAAGATATAGGCCGTACAAAACACCCACCCTAAAAGTTTAAGTTTCTAATGTATCCATGGAAAAGGCAAAAATTAAAAAGTTCAGAATCTTCAAGCTAGCAAAAGGCACAAGTACTCATTGTGTTAAATGTGTGTAGAAAGTTTGGTGAAACTAGGGTGCATAGTTAAAAAGATATAGGCCGTACAAAACACCCACCCTAAAAGTTTAAGTTTCTAATGTATCCATGGAAAAGGCAAAAATTAAAAAGTTCAGAATCTTCAAGCTAGCAAAAGGCACAAGTACTCATTGTGGTAAATGTGTGTAGCAAGTTTGGTGAAGCTAGGGTGCATGGTTAAAAAGATATAGGCCGTACAAAACACCCACCCTAAAAGTTTAAGTTTCTAATGTTTCCATGGAAAAGGCAAAAATTAAAAAGTTCAGAATCTTCAAGCTAGCAAAAGGCACAAGTACTCATTGTGGTAAATGTGTGTAGCAAGTTTGGTGAAGCTAGGGTGCATGGTTAAAAAGTTATGGGCCGTACAAAAGCTCGGACGGAAGGACGGACGGACGGAACGCTATATACCCCCGATTTACTTCATAGACGGGGGTATAATAAAGCTTGTACATATCATTAACATCCTTACAGAGGCTGTACACAATTTTCATCTCTCATTTAACAAATAAATGACTCGTGGTCGTTGTCTATCATACAATAAAACACTGCAGGGAGAATAAACCATAAGGGGTGTTTATTTCTAAAATAAAGATCTGCAAAGACAAAGGCTACTTTGGGTTCTTACGGATGGTGTTGTTATTCCATGAGTTATTGATATGATTGACATCATGTGTATTTGTGAGGTGAGGTTAAATTGGGTTTAACGTTGCGTCCAAGCATGTGTATTTGTACATGAGCAATACAAAATCAATTGGGTAATGATTTATTTTGCATATGTTGCGTAAATACACAGCATATCTGGAGCTCGGTGTAAATAACTTACTTACCACAAAACAATTATTGTGCATCATATATGTTAAAATGCAACACAATAAGCATCATTTTAAATTTCGGTTTTGAAAAGAAATAAAGAAGAAGAAAAAAATCTGAAGCATGTTTTTCATTTGATTGTTGTTCCACCTACCGACCAGGACATTTCACATAAACATTTCATACAAATAAACTGAATGGCTATATACAAAGGAGGCCCTGAAAACCATCTCCTCATATGGTAATGTGATAGATTAAGTGACTAATGAAATGACAGCTGTTTTGTTGAAATTGTGATTAGGCACACTGTTTTTGACTTCTATGTTGCAAGACATGTGATATGTGTCCACAGTGCTGGTAGGTGCAGAATACCTCTGAATCTTAATCACTCCACACACCAGACATTTACAAGAGCTGAACTAATATTCAAGGTAGAGCTCTGTGCCTTATCGAGGGAAGGCCACAACTTTAATGGTGGCATGCTGTACCTGTGATCATCATGTGCTCAGAAATCTACAATAATAATAATAATAATAATAGCAGTCCGTTTATATTGCACATATTTCCACACAACTAACGGACAAGCTTAAAGCACTTTTTATTACCCAGCTTATTGGATCAATATGCCCTCAAGAATCATTCTCAGCTCCCTGGGGAGTATACAACCCAAGCTGCCTGTTAGGCAATAGAAGGTTAACAACCACATTGCCATCTCATCCTACCTGGTACCCATTCACTGCTGGGTGAACAGAGGCCCATATTCGAACAAAGTCACTTGCCCAGGGAGACGTCACATGTGTTACATGTGCTTCAGTGTGGGGCAGGACTGAAGCCCTAGAAAGGCGGTCACCAAGGATTCCCCGCGACTGTCGTTGCTTAACTTCACCTGATTTGTGACCTGTGCAACAGACTTATTGTAGGGGTGTGGTATTTGGCAGTGTATATTGTACTAAACTCTGATGATCATAAGAAGCAAATGGTTGAGGTGCTCATAAAATGTTGACCTTGATAGTGACCTTGATATAGAATGACCTCCCTTGGCATGACAGATTAACTATAATAATATGAAAGACCCAAAATGTAGACTCTATATTTTCCTTAGTTTGTGTAAAGACTCAATGTGAAACTGTTGTACTGCAGATTAATACACCAAGTAATTGTGAATACCGGTAGTCGTCCAAACTCCATTTTCAGATGATTTTAAAATGATTTTTTTCTCTTTCAAATGATGACAAATGATACAAAAGACCAAAAATACACAGCATACAGCAATAATTCTAAACTGTCATTAATCTTGTAAATTATTCATAAATCATGCTGCTAAATAAATGACAGAGAGCCATGCACATAGTTTTCGCTATATCATCGTGATCACGGTTGCTCCAGTTGTACATAGCCTGGGGCCTCCCAGTCTCTCATGTCAAGCATCCTGTCTGGCAAGTTGAAGCACTAGTTCTGCATTGTCACAGTAGCGATTGTATTCACAGGGGTATCCCCTTATTTGAATTGCTTGTGTGGTTGGGTAATGCATGTGCTTTACTCAAAAACATGAATTAAATATTTGCATTCTTGAGTTTGGATATGTTCACAACTGAGTGAGTGAGTGAGTGAGTGAGTGAGTTTGGGTGAGTGAGTGAGTGGGTTTGGGTGAGAGTGAGTGAGTGAGTGAGTGATCGAGTGAGTGAGTGAGTGAGTGAGTATGGTTTTACGACACTTTTAGCAGTATTCCAGCAATATCACGTTGGGGGGACACCAGAAATGGTCTTCACACATTGTACCCATGTCGGGAATTGAACCCCGGTCTTTGGCATGACGAGCAATCGCTTTAACCACTAGGCTACCTTACCCCCCCCTCTTCACAACTGAAATGGCTGGACAAAAACATGATTTCATAGTAACAGTATTTTGGAACAATATTTTCAGGCTGCTCTAATATTGTTGTGCTAAATATTGTGGTTGCAAAACCAAACCTTACAAAATATGTACAATAAATACAGCTAATGAACTGTCAACATAATGAATTTTTTTATGTATGCATGGTTCAAACAAGTCAGCTAAAAGAAACATGCATCAGTCGCTGAAATGACCTGCTACGTATTTTCCAGGTACCATATATAAGGTGAGTATTTCGTACCTAGAATTAGGGGGCTTTCAAGGAGTGTCGTCTTATACACAGGGTTGAAGAGTTTTGATGTATTTTCCCCAACACAAAGACATTACTGTAAACACATAACACCAGAAATATCATGTCAACAAATCTGTATTGAAGTACGTTTACTAATCATGTAATTTCACTGTCTGGTTATAAAAACAGTTCATTATATACTGCCACTAATTTCAACATGTTCAAGACCACCACTTTTATTATTTATTGTCTATAAAGACTGAACGAAGTCACAGTACAACATTTTTGCAATAACTTGCTTACAATAAGATTAACATTTTTCAGTGAAAACATCCAACTCAGTTTACTGATTTTCCTTGCTTAAATACCAATAGGAGGATACATAGAATATAAGTGGGAAAAAAATCATTTCCAGAATGTTTCAGAAAAAAAATCTACATAACTCCACTTAATGTTTAGAAGATAAATGCCTTCAATCAAACTATGGTGTGGTCTTATTTTGTGGTCTTATTAAATGTTTAATTTGTTGTTTAATGCCGCACTCTGCAATATTCCACCTATATGGAGGCAGTCCATGAATAATTAAGTCAGACAAACCAGTGACTGATATTATGAGAATGATCATGTACGATGACCCTAGGATGTAAATATAAGTTTGGACCAGATAATCCACTGAGTGATATGAGCATCAATCTATGCAATTAGGATACGATGACAATTGACATGCATCAACAAAGTCAGCAAGTCTGACCATCGATACCATTAGTCGCCTCTCACGACAAGCATAGCTGCCTTTTACAAGGATGGGTTGGTCAAGACCTATTCTAACCACTATCTTCACGATTAGCATAGGTTGCTGGGGATCTGGACGCCCAACCTTATTACCATGATTGTTTTGTTTGTTGTTAAACATGGCACTCAGCAATATTTCATCTATATGACGGCAGTCTACAAATAACTGGACCAGACAATCCTGTGATTGACATCATGAGCCGTGATCTACACAATTGGGAATGGGATACATGACATGCATCAACCAAGTCACCGAGCCTGACCACTTGATCCCGTTAGTCGCCTCTTCCAACAAGCATGGGTTGCTGAAGATCAATTCTAACCTGGGTCAGCATGGAGGTATTACCATGAATACAACATCTGGTTGAATAATGGATTTCACAGCCACAATGTCAACCAGTACCAGACTGTTGACCCAGTAACAATGCATATCGATACTGAACTAAGCATATCGTGTATAATTAAATTGAAAAATAATAGTCTAGTTTTTTTTAATTAATTAATTAACCATTCCAAACCTCCAGAAATGTGAATAAACTAAAATTTGCAGAACAGACCTTTCTTCTGACACTATTAGCCATTTTTAATAATGAATAAAGTATATAAAAAATCAAACTAGGACAGTGAATTGAAGTAACTTAGTCAGTTCCCAAAACATTTCTTAATCTATTCGCTATCTACCATGACCAACGATTCTCTTAAGAAATCGCATTAAAAAATGTTTTGCGCAAAATATTCATATTTTCATTACAACCACAAACCCAATGTTTTCAACAAAATTTAATTTAAAAAGGTGATTAGAAAACAACAACCCCCATCAATACCATCAATACCACATCTAGCAGCAAGGTAGGCTGTGCTTACCTGTGGGTGACAGCAATTCCAATGGCTGAAACAGAATAAAGCACATATGTAGACAATACCAGTACAGAGCTACAGATAAGCAGCGTATTTGCGTAAAATACCTCCCAAAAATATTCAGAAACCAATTACTTTCAAGCGTACAGAAACGCATGCATTAAATAAAAAACTCAAATGTATAAAAACAGCACGCGTAAATACCCAATAAAGATTTTTCAGCATGCGTACAAAGTTGCTGATTTCCGAAGCACAATTACGACCTAATATACTTTCCGAGTCAAGCCTATATATTTAGAACAGTTATCATGGTTATATACAACTAAAACATCATTTCATTTTTGTTTTAAATCTTAAAATGTTCACACTTTGGGGGAAAAGACCAATAGAGTTATGAACAGATGAGTGCAAACATATTGGTTACCATATGAAAAATGTTATAACCCAATTAAAATAGAAACCCTAGAGTGAAAACTCAATTGCTCAAGAAGTTATCTGGAGCTCTGCAGTAAATTGTAAACGTGCGCAACCTTAGCCACTGATGTAGCCCATACTCTAAAGTAAAGTATTCACTATTGTTTTGTCTTGTAGTAAGCTCAGATAATAATGGTCCACATAGTACCACTAAAAATCTCCTGTAAGTGATACCAAGAGACAAGTTTGGGATAGTAGACTGGTTTTGGTCATAGCTGTTGTATGGCATGAATATTATATTTGTGACGACAACACACTGAAATTCTGCAAGATGTATGGGTGGTGGTTCTGAGTAAGTTCTTATGATTATAAAATATCAACCCCTGCCACATCACTTAAAAAAACCCAGCAGGGATAATTCTAGGGTGGGGCCTTGTGCTTTTAACCCCTAAATTTGAAAAAAGGCATACATTTTCAAACACAATTGGGCATTTTAACATTGTGCTGTATGGGTAAGTGTGAGTACCTCTGGGTGAACCCTGATTTATCTAGGATTCTTAACTAAGGGCCTGTAACAGGCAAACTGGGAAAAATAATTACCGTACTTTGTTCATAATTGCGATTTTTTAAAAGTTCATATTTTCTTAAATTCAGAGGTATTTTGTGATTTCATTTAAAGCAATATCATAAAACAAAGCATTCACACTTGGTACTTATTACAACATTTGAATGGACCCAAACACAACAATTGATGCACACTGCAACAAATGGTTAAAATCTCAAATCTGCATGATTTACCATGTTTGGTTCCATTGAAAATGTGCTGGGTTCCATTGAAAATGTGCTGGGTTCTTATCATTACGATGCAAACTTTATGGGGAATTTTGACTTTGTAATTTGCAGTGTTAGAAACTAACAGTTTTTGTCCACTAGTCCTTATAATAATAACATATAGCAAAACCCTTAAAAAGGGCAAATCTCTACAAGTCCTTATCATGCTTATGATACCTTTACCATTGGGCAGTTTGGCAAGGACTAAAGGACTAGTGCAAGGACTAAAGGACTAGTGGAAATTTCTAATGCTGATTTGTGTGGCTACTTCTTGTTTAAAGTGTGTACAATTCGATAGTTTGGTAGCTTTATCCTGGGTTTCTTTGGTAGGCCTGCAGTCCATTCCATCATTACTGGTAGCAATTATCATAATGGTCCCATTCTCATCCATGTCATGTTGCTCATGCTTGTGTTTTGTGCCCTACTTTCTAGTGCAGTTCGGTATGGCTGCCCCCGCAGTAACTGACAGAGCTTACTAACGGAGAAGTTTGAGTAAATAATGGTCTGAAAGAACAGCGTACAAGTGAAGGAGAGTTTGGGCGAGATCTTTTATTTACTTATTTGGTTTCTGTTTCTACCTGACAAATCTTGGCTGGTAGGTGGAGGGAATAACAATGAAATAAAAAAGACATTTCATATTATTTTCTTCTCAATATGTTGCCATGTGTGCTTCTGAAGCTGATCTTATAGAATAACATAAAATTGTAGCCTATTGTCATGCAGGCAGCATTAGAAATTAGCACTAGTCCTGTAGTCCTTACCAAACTGCCCATAGTAAAGGTATCCTAAGGACTAGCGGACAAAAACTGTTAGTTTCTAACCCTGTGCAGGTTAGTTTGTTTTGTTTGTTGTTTAATGCGGCACTCAGCAATATTCAAGCTATATGATGGCTGTCTGTAAATAATCAAGTCGGGACCAGACAATCCAGTGATTTACGGCATGAGTATCAAGCCATGCAATTGGGATACAATAACATGCATCTTCCTAGTCAGCAAGCCTGGCCGCCCAATCCCGTTAGTCGCCTCTTACTACAAGCATAGTCGCCTTTTACAGCAAGCATGGGTTGCTGAAGACCCCGGATCTTCATGGGTCTCTGATTTTATGTGAAAGATCCTGGTTGGTAGGTGGAGGGAATAACAATGAAATATAACAGACATTTCAGATTGTTTCCTGCTCAATATGTTGCCATGTGTGCTAGGTAAGCTTATCTCATAGAATAAAATGTAATTGTAGCCAGATAGCCTATTGTCATGCAGCTATACATACTGTATATACCATATTTGATGAATACATAATAAAAATGAATTTTTTTAAAAGAAATCTGTTCAGGTGCTTAATTTCCTCTTTTAAACTTATATATAATCATGCTAATAAGAGTATACATATTTCATAAGGATTTGTTTGTCAAAGACTTGCCTAAGATGTCAATTAAATCAATTATTTGACCTAACACCAGTTCACTCACTCCCTTCTTCCTCGTCATCATAATATTCATGTCAGAAAAAAAGAAACCACACATGCCACTCATAATGTTTAACAAAGTGTTAAAATCAAAATTATCATGATTATAGCTCTTCAGCATATTGAATCAGAAGAAATATTACAGATAGTCTTTATCCATGACCAGCTGTAGAGATACACATCACAGAAAGAAGGAGAGGAATAAATAGAACAATCACCTCCTTGTCCAACTCAAAAAACATTCTATGAATATCAGCAGCGGTTCAAACATTTTAACGGATCCTTATACCTTGATGATAAACATGAAATCTTCTAACTTCTGTTTCTCTTGCAGTAATGTTTTGATTGGAGAACTGCGATAAATATAATGATCCCTAATGTGAGCAACAAACATGGCTCCAGCCTAATAATACACTTGTCTAAGGCGGACATTTTGCCTCTAGCTATTTCATCCTTAGGCAATGATTGTAATGACACAGTGATTGTGACCCAGCTTTTCAAAACCCATTTCTTGAATCTATCAATCCGAAATACGACTCACTGAATTATGAATATTTTACATAAAAACTAAATTTTAAAAAATGTGACATGGATGAACAATTAAGAGCCATTTATTAACAGGGTTAGAAATTAACTTTTAGTTTCACTAGTCTGCAAAAATAATCTTACATTCTTACAGAGATGCGTAATTGTAAAAGTGGTAGTCCACAAGGAAATGTCACTTGACATTAATTATGCATTGTTCATATCTGTTATTATTCTTCATTTAATGTCATGAAACTTCTGTTAGAAAAATGACTGTTCCAGCATTAGAAATTGGCACTAGTCCTGTAGTCCTTGCCAAATTGCCCAAAAGTTAAGATATCACAAGGACTAGCAGAAGTTTGTAATTTTTAAGGGTTTTGCTATATGTTACCATTGAAAGGACTAGTGGACTAAATATGTCACTTTCTACCCCTGTGTTCGTGAAAAGACTGTTTTTATTTACCATACCAAGGTTCCAATCAATTACAAAATAAAAAAGAAATGTTTGCTGTCAGCTTATCAATAGTTGCTGCAAAACGTGAGCCACCAAGTCATTTTCAAGGCTAAAATTAGAACCATGTGTGATTTCACAGATTTAAAAAGACATTCTAAACTTTCAATAACGGAATTGCTCCATTTGTAAATCCAGAATACACTTTAAAAATATTGAAGTCCACACAACTAGTGCATTAGTCATACTGAGTTATGGACTAACCCTTACAACTATAATTGTACTATATTTTTTAAAAGCAAAAACAACCATGATGAATGATACAGTGTGCCACAAAACAAAACAAATGGAACAATGTTTTCATTAAATATTGAATAAAAGTATATAATGTATATTGTTTTGGCTGTTTTAATTGTATCCTCTACCCAACAATAAAGAACACATGTCAGATACGAATCAGTATGTTTAATATCAGTGTTAAACATTATCAGTAAATGGCTTTGTGTTTGAACCAAAGGTATACTAGCTTCAACTACTAATACTACTATTATACATGGCCTACATTATAATAATCAATACAAGCTTGAAAAGTTGTTTTTCAGTGTTCATATTGCTGGCTAATAAAAAAATCATTAACATTCAACACTAGGGCTGTTACGATTCACTCACATATTCGGTGAATCAAACCGATCCATTCATGAATTGAATTCGTTATTCGTAGCCACTAGAATCGAATATCTATGGATATGCAATCATGTTCATTTACTGTACTAAAATGTCCATAAGAACATATTATATGCATAGATTTCTTTGAAGACAATACTCTTATAATATTTAATTTGACAGTATTGTGGTCACTGGTCATTGTCGCATTTGAGCAGATACTAGTACCTGGATAAGTGAAGTATATTAAAGCTTAATATATTAATAATTAACAAACCATGTCAAATAATTTATTTTGTTATTGTTTCACTGAATATAACATTTAATACATTTGTGAATAAATATTCGTATTCGTTACTCTATATTCGTGATACGAATCGTATTCGCCTTATCATGTTTATAGTGCCCTAGTTCAAATGTAAAATAAAATTCTTGATTATGGCAGATCAGGGTCTCAAATTAACCTGAAACATTTACTGTTTAGAAAAGTGATAACATAAAAGGAATCCTTCAAAAGTAGGGCTGTGTATTGGCAAAAGAAATTGTATGGCAATATATTGTGGTACAGGTATCTGTATTCCAATACTTAGGGTTAGAACTTAACACACAACCCGCTAGCCCAGGGTGAGTACAAATTCCTTCAGGCTAGTACAAATTTCCCATTGTTTTAACATTACCATGATTACAAGGGCATCTTATCTTTACCAGGGCTAGTAAAGCTTTAGAGTTTAGTTCTAACCCTGAATACGTATTGCAATATATGTTCGAGCTAAAGAGTTTGACTGTGATTGACACTGATTGTACACGCAGATCTAATTTTCTACATACTGAAGTAAATATTACTCAGCATGGTCAGTCGCCACCAGTTTGTTGTCATGAACACAGGAGAGATAATATCAGAGAAAAATCACTTTAAACCATTTATATGTTCAAAGGGAAACACCATTTGTGAATGAATTTCTGCCCAGATTTTAGATTGAAACAATACAAATAATAATAAAGTTGTTTACTTTTTACCCAATATACCGGAACACAGTAAAAATATGGCAATTTCTATTGTTTGGAAAGTGTAATACAGTATATTGCGGTACAGTCTTAAAAGCCTGCAATTCTTCTAGCCATCTAGATAGCTTTAACATAGATCCACTCATTTAGGCTAGTAGGCTAGTATTAGGTTTGAATTCTTGCAGAGGCTTATTACCTGTACAAAAGGACTGAAACTACACTTTATTCAAAATACAATTCAGATTACGAGTGGCATGGGTTACTGATTCCTGAAAACACACAAACCTTTTATCTGACTTTATGAACAATATAGGTGTGCTGTCTTTCTATTTCTGATAACTAGCTTTGATTATGTAAAATGTATAAACATCAGGCTGTCAGTATTGGCCAGTGCTTATTGTATAAATCTGTAGAATTATTACATCACATGATATGAAGTTGCGATAAAATACAATAATTATATTTATTTTCTTATTGTACAAAACGAAATTTGTAATATGTGAAAGTCAAATAATAAGTTTGTTTCATGCATGGTAAGCATGGTATTAAAGTGAAAACTGAATACTTGAGATGAATTTAACCACTGTAAACAGTTCACTTTCTCTTTGATTAAGATTACCAAAAATCTTAAGAGATTTCTGCATGTTTAAGGTCAGGTTTAAGGGCATTTTGACAGATTAAATCGTTATGATGGTGTCACCTTATTGTTCTAGTATTTAAATCTGAGCCAGGAATTCACTGGCCATTCAGAATGTGTATTTTACAGAAATGCAACAGATACAAATATATTATAAATATCAAAGAGACAATATATATCAACCATAAAATGGTCTAAGTCAGAGAAATCACTTGAATTTGTTGACTCCGGAAGTAGAATCGACTCAACCTTTGGCGCTCGTTGATTCTACTTTTAAAATCAACAGAATCTCATGGTTTGTCTATTACAGGGGTCAACATGAGCCTTGAAATTTGTTCCATTGATTACTCCACACAAGTTTGCATGAAAGTAGTTACTTCCATAATAATAATTATCACAGGGTACTTATTGGTGGATGATAATAGGAACTAACATCTTACTCTGAGAGTAGAATACACCCAGTTTGGGGTTACACCAAAGAGAACAGTGTCTTTACAGTATCAATAATTGTAGAATTCATTAAAGTGCTACCCTGTCAACTTTTGCCAATCTCCAGTTAACTTCTGTGTTATTTCAGTGTAGGAAAATACTTTTCACAGCATTACTTGTGACTAATTTTGACACGCAGACGGACGTTCTCTTATCACCCATTTGGGAAACAGTTGTGGGTGTGGACTAAATTAATTTTGGGGTTTATGGAAACAAATGCAAAAAAAATATGCTTGGTCAATCAAATGCCATGGAATCACTTTGAATTTATTCATAACAGGACCCCAAAAGAGGCTTTAATGCTTAGTATAACAATATTGCATTGCAAGCACCACAATGTTAAAATACCTCTGAATTTAAGAAAAATATAAGCGAAGCTTGTGTATTGGTTTCAATAATTAACGAGAGACAGTGGCATGGTGATTCTAATCACAATAACACTACACTTCAACATAGCTTCTCCAGTTCATCAAAATGCTTATATTTAATCTCTATTTCTTGCAGCATAGAGTGAAAAGATTTCATAAAAGTTAAAATATAAACTAGGAATATCAACTGCAAATAAGATCCTCCAGTTTACACAACAGATGCCGTCTTAAGCAAGCTAGCAGACGATAAGTCTAGACCGGTACCTTCATGCTGCAGGGATTCGTCTAAATTGATGATGCCGGTATCCCTGAAAAGCCGATTACTTACCGACAGCCACAAGAAACAGTTTGTAGACAATGCCCGTTGAGTTTCCATTTTCCTTTTCTCTCTCTCTTGACTCAGAAGACCTGTTGTACTTGCTTTTGCCATGCTTAAACGAACTACGATGATCGCCGGTAGATCCTTGCCGTCGATTCCCCGCCATCTTGAAACGTCAAATAATGTATATACTACTTTCCTTGCGCAATATTTTACAATCTAATCCATCAAACAGACTTCACAAATATACAAGTATTAATTTGAATGTGATATTATCTCATTTCACTGTCACCAATAAATGCTACAAATTATATGTTGCATGAACAGCTATGAATGATACACTTTCAGCACAGCATAGCTCGTTCACTCGTCTCAAAGCAAGACATGCGTGGGTTACGCCCGATGACTTCCCACTGAACACAACTATAACCGGTTTATTTGTTGACACAATAGCGTTGCCTGTCGCCTTTTCCGTGTTGAATGACTGCGTTGTAAAACATGTCTTTCTGCCCCTGACCTAGCCACTTAAGCTGTGAGGATAACAATAAAACACAACAATGCAATATTTTTGCTGACTAGACTAAAATTAGAACATATAAAGAAATGTTATAATGGCAAAAATTAAATTAATAAATTTCAAATTTCATTAACACACTGAACACATATTATATTTGATCAATGAAAACCACAGTCCTGTAAATAGATGGTGAGCTTAAGTTGGATTTGATACATTTTGTTATCAATCTCTTTTAATTATCACGGTATGCGTGCGTGCGTGCGTGCGTGCGTGCGTGCGTGCGTGCGTGCGTGCATGTATATGTGTGATGGCATCGATTATAAAGAGATTGACCATAAATATAATCAAACTTCAACTCTATCATCCGTCCATGCATGGTTAGCAAATTAAAGTATGAAACTAGTGCTTTCATGCCATCATGTGTATACCGTATTCGACATAATAAGCGTAATATACGCTCTCACAATTAGAAATAATGGGCTCTTATTAGAATATTATTTTGCTGGGGAAAAAAACAGAGTTAAAAGATAAATTTCGTGGTTTATGCTGACAGCCTGAAATGTTTATATACGAGAGATACATTTTTCCAGATTATAATTGCCCATAATTAAGGGTGCATATAACACACGAGTGCGTATTATACGCGAATAAATAAGTGTTGTGTACATTGATCAATCGGAAGGGGTGCTAATTGGTATTGTTCACTAGCCAATATACTAGCAAATATCGCCGTGGGAGCTTGTATGAGCGGGGCGCTTATTACGTCGAATACGGTAATCCGTTTTCATGTTATGTTAATCTCAGTATATGTGTTTCCTAACTTTTTAATCATGTCTACCCAGTTGGTGATCACTTGCATGATAAAGGTACAAGCACGGGTACCGAAACGTCACATTGAAAGAGTCATAAAGTTGAAATCAACGGGTCAAGCCGGTCCCTTTCAGCGTTATAACGCCTTTTCATATGGGTAACATGAACATTATACTGGTTGGTTGATTAGGACGTGAGGTTTAATGCAAATACCCAAAATATATTCCCACAACGACCCCCTCCGTTCATTGATTGCCTAAATGGCAAGACTTAGTCAGTTACCGAGTCTGGACCAGGCATAATCTGGGAAGATGGCGATCAAATTGGAGCAAAAGTGATCAATGAGAACGCTTGTTTAGGACTTCCGCCATGCCCAGAGAACATTTTCTGAAATCCCGATGGTAAATATCGTTGAATCTATAGGTTTCTATATTAATAAACACATACACGTACATACGCACACACGCACGCACGCGCGGGTGGACGGACGGACGCACGCACGCACATATATGAAACACATATAGAAATTCACAAGATAATCACCTTTTTTTCATGATTTGTTCCCCTACATGTTTCAACTTTACCTGATAGGGTAGTGACTGACCCAAGCATAACTAAGTTAAAAGGTGTTGTATCAAATCTTCATTAAAATCCCTAAAACCCATACTGCAAACTAATACTAAATACTAATACTAAATACTAATATTAAATACTAATACTAAATACTAATATTAATAATAATAATAATGCTAATACTAACTACAGTATGTATTATTTACACTATATACTAATACTGACACAAATAACTAATGCTAATATTAATACTAATACTAACTACACTATGTATTATATACACTATATACTACTGGTATATTACTGGTTAGTTGACAGTTAGACAAAACCTGTAACTGCCACACTTTAGACTAACATTTTGCCTATGAAATCTTTTATTACACAATACTTTTTTCTCCTCTGTAATTAAAACGAATCCAGACCCTGTGGTATAGACCTGGCTAGACTTGCTTTCATATAAATCTAAATTGGTTTTGTTTGCATAGAATACATATATTCCACTGTTATGGTGCCGGACTGGGTATCCTTCTCATGGTAAAGGTAGCCTGGTCTTATTTCAGCATACAGAAAGCATCTATTTTCCCCGAATACTACAGGGAATTAATGTAGACAGTGCCCAGTTTCCCAGCATGTTTCAAACATGTACACGTCGTGCGACTCATCTGTTTTTAGAGTCCACGCTTCTACTAAAGTGTATCATAACATGTATATACATATACCTATTAAGTGCAAGAGAAAAACGAATATAGAATTTCTCTACAGGTTTCCGTCGTTCATCGAAGCGACAGACATAGACATTGCCAGCTAGTGGGTGTGATAGGTGTCAATTGGCATACAATTGCAATCATTTACACCTCGTGTGGATTACCAAATATTGTTTGGACGACTGGTGGCCCGGCAAGAATATCTGGTGAATCGAACAACACGCTATGAGGAGGTAACAATGTTTTCAAAAAGACAGGCGTTTATAGATAACAACTTCTTTATTATACTGTAATAGCGACGTTTCGACATAGATCCGTATACCGTTGTCAATTATTACATTATAAAGTTGTTATTCATGAACCTTTGTCTACTTAGTCATCCGTCATCTTTTAAGAAATACCTATCAAATAATTGATAGTGTTTTGATGACTGTATATCGTATTGTGTATTTCATTCACGTTTCAACATGTATAATAGGATATTACTTTCTTTTTTTGAAGCCGTGATATTAATTGGAATATTGCTAAAAGCGGCGTAAAACGATACTCACTCACTCAATCTATTTATATTGAATGAGCCATCTTTCAAAGTGTCTAACAAAACACGTTATTCAAACCGAGTGAACAGTCTTCCTATGCTACTATGATGTGATACAATACATAAAAATGTGAATGTGTGTTTTTACTTTAAATACCGACTGAAATGTATGCACATTATTTCATATATAATACACCGTATGGAAAATAGCATCCCGTTCAATGCGGAAATGTGAATGTAAATAAAATGCTTGTTGGGTGATTAAGAACAATAAATGTATCACATTCGCTCTTTTATGAAAATAGTTGTGGTATATTGTCAAACTTATTGACATATATTAGAATTTGATTAAAATCGGCTGCGTGCCGAGTGTTGCCATATAGGGAAGTTTCCGGACAGTATCCTAGCGACGGTGTAGTTTACAGTCGTTCGGAAACATGGCGGCCTCCAGATGAAAACAAGCACCTGCTCTCCATGGTCGCTAAGTTTAGTTGGCAGTATTGTTAATCAAAAACACGACAACAGTTAGTTATATCTATTTCTCACGAGCGGGAGGCTGAGAACGAGTAAGAAGACACCATGGCAGAGGTTTTAGAGGCCGGACTTGTTTTATCGGACTCGAATTTTAGGGCAAGACCTAACTTTAGAACATATTTGTCTTCTGATGCCAGTTTGGGTGGCAATTCTGTCAGGCAAATTGAAGAAAAGAGAAGAATACGACAAATGAAATTTCCAAGTCTTAGGGGTAAGCGTGATTATGATTCGTTCCAGGAAAGCACAAAACAAAATGGAGCATTTAAGAAATGGAATGATGACGGAGACTTTCGAGCATCTGCGCCATTCAGAAGTTTTGATAACATCTTGGACCCTTGTTCTGGCTTTGTGAGTGTTGGAGGTGATGTTGACAGGAATACCGGACATACTCAAATAAGATCCCTTGTTCAGCTCAACGACACACCACATTCAGGTACACCGAAAGGAAAGAATTCGGACCGAGTCAGTGAGCCAGCAGCGCCTCCTGAACTTAGGAGATCTCATACATATGCACCTGGTGCTCCCACCTTGTGGAACAGCAGGAAAATATCGGATGCTTGGATACGAGCTCAACTTGGAGGTAAACTGTTGTTTTTGTGGGAGCAGATATAACTGCAACCTTTAGGCATCAAACATATTTGATTATTTCATGTACATGATTGTTCTTATAAGTTCCATCTTGTCCAAATAAATATTTGCGGTTGATGCCATTGGTCATGAAATGCCCCTTGTTACTCCGAGGTATGCATTTCTTGCTATTTGGAGTTATTTTTGTCTTATGCTAGAAATCAATTATCCACAACAAAGTGAGTCATTTCTAGAAGTCAGGTAGTTGACAAGTTATTTCTAACAAATAATTGTTTTATAATACAAAAACTCAGAATAATAAAAAAACTGTCATTTATTTTACAAAATTGAAAAAGCCACATCTTAAGCTGTTTTAATTTTCTGCTGCATTTATTTTGTTAAAAGATATATACTTTTTCCCACAAACTAACCTCTTAAAAGTTTGGATCGAAATTTGATGATTAACATTTTTTAAAGTGACCTAACATGAATATGACTGTGAATGATCTGCTGTTCTTTAGGATGGACGAGTGATTATGATACCAGGAAGACCCCCCCTGAAGTTCTTCGGTCAAAGGTATTTATGACATGAAAAATAGACATGATTGGTCAAATCATAGTTTCTATGACTAAACTGCACTTTTATTTAAGAATCAAACAGATTTCAGTTTTAATTCATAAAAATTGTTACTCTAAAAACTTGGGGCACGGGTCACCAGAAACCTATGATTGTGGGTTCTAATCCTGGTTCGCCCCGATTATGTTTCTAGGTTTGTCAGCACCATACCTGTGCTAGTGGGTTTCACCGAAGTGGTAAACGTCTGAGACCTGCATCACTTCGGGCTTTCCTCCCACATTAAGCTGACACGCCGTGATATGACTGGAATAGTGTTAAAAGCGGCGTTAAACCCAACTCACTCACTCACTCACTACTCTAAAAACTGTATTTGATAAATATTTAGTTACATGTAATAAGTTGGACCTTTTGTCTCAGATTTGGACTCCAGTGAAGATCCGGGTTAGGCGACTATGCTTGTCGTAAGAGGCGACTAACGGGATTGGGTGGTCAGACTTGCTGACTTGGTAGATGCATGTCATTGTATCCCAATGTTGTGGATCGATGCTGATGATGTCAATTACTGGATTGTCTGGTCCAGACTCGATTATGTACAGACTGCCGTCATACAGCTGGAATATTGCTGAGTGCGAAGTTAAACAACAAACAAACAAATAAACAAGCAAATCAGATTTGATGCTGTTGATTGTTTTTCAGTCGATGTTTGTAGCCAAGCCTCCATCCGAGCTCAGTAAAGGAGGCAGAGACCACTTGGCTCTTCGGTACATGTACGGCTCTTCCACTCAGAGGTCAGTTAAACACAGGCTTTGGTTGTACAGTAGAACACGGATATAGCAAACAAACGGATACAACGAACTGTTAAAAAATCCCCGATTTATCTCCTATATAATATTATATAAAATGTACGTATATATAACGAACTCTCTACAGTGAACTAACGGATACAGCAAACTGATATCTGATCATCGATAAGCCAATCTACCACTAATTAGTGACATGTAGAAATGAGAAATCTCACTCAGTGTCAAGTGTCACTGACAAAAATTATTGGCTGTACGCAATCAGTGGTGAATCAACACAATCACGGCGAAACAACACAATCAGCGGTGACGGGTCAACCTTGTTAAACTTAAATGAATGTTGTGAAATGTTATCAATTGAATGCTATGAAGTGATCACTACTGATACAAGTCAATGCTGTAGTTACGTGTATTGTGTTTTGTTTTACACAAGATGGCGGATGTTTCCGAGCCAAAACATATATAACAAACAACAGATATAACAAACTGTTTTCTCTGGTCCCTTGTAGTTTGTTATATCCATGTTCTGCTGTAGTTAGGCAATGCAGCGCATGTTTTTAGGTTGACAGATTTCAGAAATTGTTTTTAGCATTTGTATAAAATTGAAATAAGAAACAACATCAATCTATTTTCTTTATATTTTCTTATCACCCTTGGATCTGTTGCCATTGAACATTTATTAATTGTTTGATATTTTTTGTACTCTCGAGTGAGTGATAGAGTTGGATTTAATGCAATATCTTTATTCAGTTTATCTGATTATTTAATCATGTTAATGTTGTTGTATTTTCTAATTTATATAATAGTTTGTTTTGTTTAAAAATTTTAATAGTCACAAGGTCAGATATTAAAAAAGAAACAAACAAATCAATAAATCCCACACAACAGTTTGATGTCCTTTCATAGAGTGTGCAAAAAGGGTTTGCGTCTGCATATGTTTTTTTTGTGGCATTGTTTGGTAGATTGTAATGTTAATATATTGATTATTATCTGACCTTACCGGTCCAAAAGAATTCATACTCAGGGCTTTGGCCTAGTAGATAAATTGACAAACTGCTTGTGTCTTCAGAGGCTACGAGGAGATACCATGGGACTCCATGCTGGCCCCCAAAGTGTGGCAACCAGTCTCCACGATGGAGGAAAAACCAGACATGGTATCACAGCGATGGAGCTTGAAAAAGTACGACCCGGCAGCACAGGAGTGGCAGGTAGGGAATTTATATAACTTGTACTAGTGTTGTATTAGTGGTTGTATTAGTACAGCTTGTACTAGTGGTTGTATTAGTACAACTTGTATTGATGGTTTTATCAGTACAACTTGTATTAATGATTGTATTAGTACAACTGGTTTTATCAGTACAACTTGTATTAATGGTTAATCAGTACAACTTGTATTAATGGTTTATCAGTACAACTTGTATCTATGGTTGTATCAGTACAACTTGTATCAATGGTTGTATCAGTACAACTTGTATCAATGGTTGTATCAGTACAACTTGTATCAATGGTTGTATCAGTACAACTTGTATTAGTCATTGTATTATTACAACTGGTTTTATCAGTACAACTTGTATTAATGGTTTATCAGTACAACTTGTATCAATGGTTGTATTAGTACAACTTGTATCAATGGTTGTATCAGTACAACTTGTATTAATGATTGTATCAGTACAACTTGTATTAAAGGTTGTATTAGTACAACTTGTATCAATGGTTGTATCAGTACAACTTGTATTAATGATTTATCAGTACAACTTGTATTAAATGTTGTATTAGTACAACTTGTATTGATGGTTGTATCAGTACAACTTGTATTAATGGTTGTATCAGTACAACTTGCATTAGTCATTGTATTAGTACAACTGGTTGTATCAGTACAACTTGTATCAATGGTTGTATCAGTACAACTTGTATTAACAGTTGTATCAGTACAACTTGTATCAATGGTTGTATCAGTACAACTTGTATTAACAGTTGTATCAGTACAACTTTTGTCAAAGGTTGTATTAGTACAAATTGTATTAGTTGTATTAGTGGTTGTATTGTTTACAGTGTGACTTTGGCCATTTCAACCTTGCTTGTGCCTAATGTTTATTGTAATCCTACTGATGAATGTCTGTTAGAGATTACACTTGGACCAGACCAATTTGATAACTTGCTTTACTGTTTTTTGTCAGAAATATATCTTAAAGGCAGGGGGAACAAAGATGAAAATCACATTTTAAGATTTAAAATTCAGTGACTGAGTCATCACTGCACTGTGCCCAGGTTACCCGTATTTTCTTGTATATAACATATGGCCACCTTTGAGGGTTAATTTCTCTTGGTTAATGGGTGTAGGCACATCTGTGAAACAAGTAATTATATTGGTGTTGCCTAGATAAAAAATTACCCTTTCAACAAGTGATGTTATAAATATATATATTAAATTGTGTGATTAAACCAAGACTAGAATAATACGTCCATATACTGGTTGTTGCTTTCCAATTATCTCCCTTGGTACAATAAGGGAGACAAGTCTGTTAACATTATCACAGATGATAAAGTATGTAATTATATTTTTGCATATTTTGTTGCTAGGCAACTGGCCGAGGCTGGGACATGTTCCAGACAAGGAGAGGATATTACAAGGAGGAACCATATGTCTTGTAAGTATTCAACTTATGTTAGAGCATGCCCTCTTTTCAAAATCAGGGGCAGTTGGGAAGCATAGTGGTTAAAGCGTTCGCTTGTCATGCTGAAGACCCGCGTTCGATTTCCAACATAGGTACATTGTGTGAAGCCCATTTCATTATTTATCATTTACATCCACAGATACAAAACTAGAATATTGCTTACTTCGATGTTATAGAACATTCACTTATTCACAAGTCTACTTTAGTTGTTGAAAGCATTGTATTCATTTTCTTATAATAGTCATTGAGTTGGGCTTATGCCATATTGAAGAGTATCTTAGTGATATCACTGGGTGTCAGCTTGATGTGATAGGAAGGCATAAAATGTGCAACTGTTTTTTGTTAAACCCTCCAGCTCATTTAGGGAGTGGGGCGGTTGAGTAGCCTAGTGGTTAAAGCATTTGCTTGTCACGCCAAAGACAGGGGTTTGATTCCCGACATGGGTACAATGTGTGAAGCCCATTTCTGGTGTCATTGCTGGAATATTGCTAAAAGCGGCGTCTCACTCACTCACTCACTCACTCACTCACTCACTCACTCACTCACTCACTGAGCTGCCAAACTAAGATCCTAATCAGTTTGAATCCTTTTTACAGAGTATGTCCTTTTCATGGCCAAATTGTATTGAAAGTGCTGATTTGGGGGGTTTCAATACACCAGGCTTTTTTCAAAAACAAAAAAAACATATTTTTACCAACAGAAAAAGAGTTTGATGAACGTGTAACCCATACATAGGCCGACCCCTTTCTACAGAATCCTTTTTCTGGTGCTCAAAATCTGTCAGAATTTGTTACGTTTAATCCCAGATGAGTAGCTAGATCGAAAAAAATACCAGCTTTTTGAAAACAATATTTTCATTAAGATCTGGTTGTCCTCTTGGGAAAACATGCTGGCTGTCCTAAGGATATAAAAAAAGTGTTTACATTGATGAGCGAGATAATGACCATGTTTGTTTGTTTGTTTGTTTGTGTAGCTGCAGCGCAAATCCCAGAGCTGACCAGATTCCATCCTATGGGTGAGTAATTCAACACAACGCTCTTGCGTAGGGGTAGCCTAGTGGTTAATGCATTCGCTTGTCACGGGTACGATGTGTGAAGCCAATTTCTGGCTTAAAAAACATACTCGCTTGCTCGCTTACCAGGCATCATAACTCTCAGCCCAAGCCTTTCATAATTCATGGCTTACCGATTTGTGTATTTTCATGGAGGTAAATAAATTTCTTTAGCTCAATACACGCATGGTAATGTTTTATTTGGCACCCTGTGGGGATTCAAGGTAAGACTAGGCCTCTAGCAACATGGCAGCCAGTACCATTGATTACGACAGAGAAATTCAACATAGAAAATCTAAGTGACAATAATTATGAAATCCTACTGGAAATAAAACTTAAAGTCAGTGTAGAGAGTTGTTGTTGTGTTTTCATTTGACATGTGAGGGATCTATCGTCATTGTGCCGCAAGGTACAAGAGGCTATTTCAGAAATATTATTGAAAACTATGTTTTCCACACAACTATTCATGTTCCGTTTCCTATGTCCACAGAGGCTGTGTTGGTGCCAGGAACTTGGAGGAGATAGATAATGCAAGGGAACCGTTCCAGCCCTTCACCGTCAAGAGAGTCCCCATTCCTCGACCAGTAGACACAGGACAGTGAGTTGAACAGGAGTTTACCTTTGTTTCGACCCGTGAAGATCTGTGTAGAACAGGTCTTCAGCAACCCATGCTTGCCGTAACAGGCGACTTTGCTTGCCGTAAGAGGCGACTAATGGTACCGAGTGGTCAGGCTCGCTGACTTGGTTGATGCATGTCATGGATCCCTATTGTGTAGGTTGGTGCTCATGATCTCAATCACTGGGTTGTCTGGTCCAGGCTCGATTATTTACAGACCACCGCCATATATCTGGAATATTGCTGAGTGTGGTGTTAAACAAAAAACAACAACAACAACAACCTTAGTTTCTGTGGAATCACATGACACTGGTTGTACGTGTTTTGGATTTGCAACTGTAGACATGAAGCATTATGTATTTAGTCCATACTAACTTCTGTTTTTTTATTTTCATTCATGACGCCCAATTGCTTAACACCTAACCTCAAATAATTTTGTTGTACCCAAGTACTTGTCAGTCTCACAGTCCCTTAACCTTTATTATTTTCTCTTCCGCCCAGCCCTTACTGTAATTCTATAGTCCTAAATGAAGCAAGTCTAGTCTCACAGCTCACTGGGGCTCCTTTTCAATTAAAATATAATTGCTTGTTTTTATTAAAGTTGGTCTACCCAAGCACCTATAGATGAAGAAGATCACTATCTTTCCCTATCAGACATTTATGTGGCTGTGTCATGTTTTTCTGACACCCCCTTTTATGTAATTTGTTTTTTATGCCCCTTCCTCGCCCCAATACATGAAACATTTACATGTGACCCCCCACTACACACACTCACACACATTGTATCCATGTTCAAATTTATGATTTTTTATTTGAACAAATAGAACTGTCATCTTTGCATGACAAACTCCCGCCCCACCTCTTCTACTAGGCTATAATAAATTACTCCTATGAAGCAGTGTCTGTGTGTGCTGAGAAGGGATCTTATCCTTCAATAACCAATGCCTCTTTTTAAATGTTTCTTCCTTTGGTCATTCACCATGTTCACCTCAGCGTTAGAAATTGGCACTAGTCCTATAGTCCTTGCCAAACTGCCCAGTAGTAAAGGTATCATAAGGACTAGTAGAAATTTGCCATTTTTAGGGTTTTTTCTATATGTTATCATTATAAGGACTAGTGGACTGAAACTGTTAGTTTCTACCCCTGCTGGCCTGAAAGTCAGTTTTATGTACGATGCAAGACTTTATTGTGTCGAGCTCCATGATGTCATCACAGTTACTGTCAGCAAATCCTGACTCAAGGTGGGCTCATTTCCCCACGTGGGTATCATTAGACCAGGCCATGCAGGCTAAAACTCAACTCACTCACTCACTCCTCTCTTGCAGTCGTCCAAACATTCCCTGCTACACTGGGTGCACCTTGTACCAGGGGACGTACAGCCCCGCCCACTCCCGGCAGGTGGCCAGTGCCCTGCCCACGACAAGTGAAGTACACAAGTAAGTCGGAGCGACATACAGTTGTCTCCCTTTACCTTTATTACCCGAGTATGATGAAAGTATGCAATTAAGTTTGTCCTTGTCATATATTTGTCTCCCTTTGTTTTGTTTGTGAGGAAAAATGCAACTTTTTGTCAACATGTTCAAAGTTAAGTAATTGAAATGTTTATAATTGATCGATAACAACGTATGCACAGACTTGAAATGGCCTTGAATTTGGCAGTGTGACCATGAAATGGCCTTAATTTTACTAAAAGGCCTTGAAAACATCCACTTGGCCCATGTGTGGTTAAATGCCTTTGGCGTGAATACCATGGTTTTGTGGTGTATAATTGCAATTATCATTAAAAGCAAAGAAACAGTTCATAACTCAATCAATGAATAGACCCGTGAAGATCCAGGGTAGAATGGGTCTTCAGCAACCCATGCTTGCCGTAAAAGGTGACTATGCTTGTCGTAAGAGGCGACTAACGGGATCGAGTGGTCAGGCTCGCTAACTTGGTTCATGCATGTCATCGATCCCAATTGCGTGGATCGATGCTTATTATGTCAATCACTGGATTGTCTGGTCCAGACGCGATTATTTACAGACCGCCGTCAAATAGCTGGAATATTGCTGAGAGCGGCGTAAAACAACAAACAAACAGTCAATGAATAATATACTGGTGTTTTGACTTGAATAATGTATATGGATGTGCAAAGGGAGCCATTCAAACATTGAAATAATAAAGTGAGAATTTTCTAAATAATCTCTCTGAAATCTTGGGTCGTACTTATTATTTGCAACTTTGTTTCAGTCCTAAGCCAGTGTCCCCCAACAACTCGGAGTTCAAGCGAAACTCCCACATGTCGAAGATGGTGACGACGGTGCCGCCCTGTAACCCCTTCAACAGCATGGAGAATGAGATGGTCACTGTCAGTTAAGGGGTTAAATATGTGACCAACATTTTGCACATTCACGAGGTAGCTACCGTATTTGACGTAATAAGCGCCCCGCTACAATAAGTGCCCACGGCGATATTTGCTAATATATTGGCAAGTGAACAATCCCAATTATCACTCCATCCGATTGATCAATGTACACAAGACTTATCTATTCGTGTATAATATGCACTCGTGTGTTACATGCACCCTTAATTATGGGCAATAAAATTCATGAAAAATATATCTGTCGTGTATAATACGACTTTTCTTAAACCATGAAATTTACGATCTTTCAACTCTTTTCTTTTCACCAAACTTTTATTCTAATAAGAGCCCCCTATTTCTAATTTTGAGAGCGCCCTGGCTGCTTATTACGTCGAATACGGTATATCAAACCAGTTCTCTTGCATCTCAGGTACCATCCCAGCTCCTTTAATATTGCTATTTTGAAGACTGAGTGTAAATCGGGCGACTATCTTGGCAGGCTGATCTCCAAATCTCATTACCGGTAACATGCGGACCCTGTTCCACAAAGGATCTTAGTACTACAATTGTCGTAAGTCTATGTTAAAGTATGAGAGATACGATCGCCTTATGGCTAAGATTGCATTGTGGAACGAGGTTCGAACTTTATCAGATCTAACCAACTTTCAACCGAATGATTCAGCTTTTGAAAGCCATGTGTTCTAGTGTCTCCTGCTGTAATATTCCTGGAATATTGCGATAAACAGTGTAAAGCCATACTCACTCACTCACTCACTCACTGGGGATTGAACTTTGTGGGTTTCAGTCCAGACTTTGCTAGGGTTCAATCTCATTAAAATCAGAGTTTAGTTCTCGCTACCGCTAAACAAAGGACATCCAATTTGGGGTCACGTCAGAACGACCTTTCATCGGACCAATCAGAGCGTCGCTTACCAGATCATGAAAGTGACAGTCGGAATGTGATTTCTAATTATGCAGCCTCGAAAACCTTCAAACGGGATATTCTGAACGATAGTTTCGGGCTTAATGACTGAATCTATACAATCTAGACCATATATTAGCCATTCGAGAATGTTCTTTTGTTCAGGTTTCACATTTTTAATCGAGAATTTGTCAAAATATGTTTCGATGCGTTGTCACCAATTTGAAATTAATGTCGTAAAGCACGAGAAAGCTGCCTTCTGATTGGCTAATGTCGAATTCTTATCAGTTATTCCATTGGTCGGTCAGAGTTTGCGAAAGGTTGGTCTGATGTGACCCGTAATGGGATGTCCTCAGATCTTTGTTTAGCGGCAGTGAGAACTAAGATCTGATTTTAATGAGATTGACTAGGGATAAACATTAGGAGATAAGGGTGGTGGGTGATTAGGCTGTGTAGTTGTCCACGAAATGGATGGTTTGTAAAATGGCCGCGATAACTGAGATGCCTTGGTCGCTACAGAAAGAGTTCTCACACATTTTGTGAGCACAATAAAAATGGCGGGGGTATCCGGTGTAATGCATTCTTTCAGATGGTTTTAACCCATGTGTGAGTTATTGACACAATACACTTTTCCCTGTCTTTGAGAATCTTTTGGTTGTGAGTAGATTCCGGATTTGGTCTGATTATGTGTTAGACCAGCATCACTTCAGGCTTTCTTCCACATCAGCTGACAAGCTGTGATATAAATGTGATAGTCTTTAAATTGACACCGTAATATAACTGTAATACTGTTCAAAGCTGGGCTAAATCATACTTGGTCAGTCATAGGTTTTAACCTGCTGGGATGAATGAGAAACGTGAGAAACATGGCTAAAGAAACGAAACAATCCAATATCCCGGATGCCTATTTCAAATAATGTCGGGGGAGTTTTAATTAAAAGTATTATAAATACCGTATTCGACGTAAAAAGCGCCCTCGGTGATATTTGCTAATATATTGACAAGTGAACAATCCCAATTAGCACCCCTTCCGATTGATTAATATGCACAAGACTTAAAATTATTCGTGTATAATACGCACTTGTGTGTTATAGGCACCCTTAATTATGGGCAATTAAATTCTGGAAAAATATATCTGTCGGATGTAAACATTTCAGGCTATAAGCATAAACCACGAAATTAACTATCTTTCAACATTGTTTTTTATGCCAAAATAATATGCTAATAAGAGCCCCCTATTACTAAATTTTGAGAGTGGCCTGGGCGCTTATTATGTAGAATACGGTACTCCTGATCAATAATGGGTTATTTTCTAATTTATATCTATGCACACAACAAATCACATTTTTTAACAATTCCCATTTTGTAGGACAATACAGTCAGCGCTACAGAGAAAAACATTCATGATATATTAGACTGTTTGCCTTGAATATATATTTGTTATTTTTCTGTGAAAGGCTGGTGATATATACAAAATGCAATGCAGCGTTGTGCATCGCTTTACAGTATTATATATAGTCTGCCTGTGTTCATATTAACATGTGCCGTTACAAGGAAATATGTTTTGATGTTAGATACAATTTTAAAACTATTTACAAGCTTATTTCAATACAAAATTGTATACCTCCAAACATATAATCGACAGTTCAATATGAGGGTTCCAGTCCCCTTATGGTATGCCGGATGCCGAGCCTGTGGTATGCCGGATGCCCAGCCTGCAGTATGCCAGATGCCCAGCCTGTGGTATGACAAATGCCGATTCGTGTGGTATGCCGGATGCCAGGCCTGTGGTATGCCGGATGTCGAGCCTGTGGTATGACAAATGCCGATTCCTGTGGTATGCCGGATGCCCAGCCTGTGGTATGCCGGATGTCGAGCCTGTGGTATGACAAATGGCGATCCCTGTTGTATGCCGGATGCTGATCCCTGTTGTATGCCGGATGCCGATCCCTGTTGTATGGCGGATGCCGAGCCTGTGGTATGCTGGATGCCCAGCCTGTGGTATGCCGGATGCCCAGCCTGTGGTATGTAGGATGCCCAGCCTGTGGTATGTAGGATGCCGAGCCTGTGGTATGCCGGATGCCCAGCCTGTGGTATGCCGGATGCCCAGCCTGTGGTATGTAGGATGCCCAGCCTGTGGTATGCCGGATGCTGAGTCTATGGTATGCCGAATGCCTGGAAGGTGGTGGTTGGCACCCTTCAACATGCTTATATCAAACTTTATCTTGTATTTCGTTTTTTTGTGAGATGAATTTTGATTGCATGAGAAACTTACTGGTAAGCCAGGATAAGTTGAGTTATGACCTGACAATTAAACCCAGTGTTCCACCATTGTGAAGAAAGGGGTAGCGGGTGGCCCAAGACAAGTAGTACAATGGATATGTGCGTGTCCTGTCTCGGCTAACAACAAGTTCAAGTACGTGCTGATGTGAGGTACCTGGAGACTGTGGAAACAGTGACAGCAAATTTGCATAGATAGCAACAATTGAGAAGTATCCCGACAATGAAGCGAATGTAGTTGCCGTAAAAATGGAATACTTGTTTTACCCCAGAGAACACTAAAGTACTCACGGAAATGAAAAAAACCTGTTTTTCTCAATTTAAAAATCCACACAAAGTGTTACGTAGCTGTAAATACGAAATAACAAAATAACTCGAAAAGTACAAGTCTGGATTTGCTAGTTTGATCTCAGTGAACAATACAAAATGTACTTTACAGGAGGTAATTTGTCGGCACTTTCAACATTCAAAAATAAAACTAAGTCCGAATTGACATAGCAGAAACAGACTATAGGCATTATGCACCTGTTCTCACCTGTCGTCAAGGTGTCATAGGTCACCTTGATCTACTTACACCTGGTTATGCCCTGTTTCACAATAGTCTGTTTTATTCACATTTTTACACACTTTTACGTGTAAAAAGGCATAAAAACATTTGATACGCTGTATTTGTGCCACGGCCCAATTAGTACTAATTTAGTTGTTTGAATATTTACATATTTTGTATATTAACTGCATTTATTTAAGATCTGAGGTCGAAAAAAGTTTTTTTTCATTTCCGTGAGTACTTTAATGAAACTCCTTTGTCACAAGTGAGACCTCCTGCTCTGATGCGCTTTAGCACAGATACAGCCAGACCAGTGGCATTGCTGAATTTTGACCATGCTTGATATCTATTTGCACATTCGTTCTCAATGTAATTTATGACGTTCTTTATGACCAATTCTCGAGCCTGAGAATGTATGATTTGGCCATGCTTACCTAGCTTTGACATTTTTATTTGTGTGTAATTACCTTCTAAAAACGACTTTTAGAGAATTTTGGTGTCGACTTGTAACACTGACCTCTTAATAGTCTTATGAGCAACATGTACGTGTATGTCCATGGGAGCGTTGTCAATTTCATCGTCATGACCTGCACGTGCACAACATGCGTACACCCTCTCTACATGTAAGAAACCAAATATGTTGGCCCAAATTCTGTGCACCGCCTAAATATCTCGAACATGTTTTGTCAGTTGGTTCAACTTATCCTGGATTACCAGTAGGAATAATTAATAAAGTAATATAAACATATCCGAATACATGGTTTATAAATTTTAAACATTTAAGAACACACTATGCCAAGTAACCTGTTCCATATTCAGAGCATTGAATGTAAAAATGATAAACATAAATACTTGAGAATGTGTCTGTACTTACTTCGCCTTACTTTTCTTTCTCTGTGCAGAGTTGCGTCCCTTGGGCACGCCAGAAACCTATGATTGTAGGTTCGAATCCCGGTTATGTTTCTAGGTTTGTCAGCACCATACCCGTGCTCGTGGGTTTCACCGAAGTGGTAAACGTCTGAGACCTGCATCACTTCAGGCTTTCCTCCCACATTAAACTGACACGCCGTGATATAACTGGAATACTGTTAAAAGCGGCATTCAACCCAACTCACTCACTCACTCACAACTTTTCTTCCTTGTAATATACTGACAGGGTAATAAACTCTAGTTTATTGTCTCTAAAGATGACATACAAATTTTATTTTTAAGAACTTATTAATTTAGCATAGACCTGTGTGTTTCTATTCATAATCACCCGTGTGTTTCTATTCATATTCACCAAAGACTGTGATATTCACTGTACATTTATTTACTGTAAATATTTATTAGTTATATTAACCGATTGTGCAATTTGTGGATGTTTGTACATATTTTGTTTTAACCCTCACATT